TCCAAAAATCTGGTAACTTGGAGTATTTGCATAATGTTCTCGATACAGAACTGGGATTGGTGCAACTCAAAGTGGAAGATTCCATTATCATAGCAACAAGTAATTAGTCTTAGTTACAGGGTCAAAGCTCATTAAAAGAGGGGCAAGACCAACATCTAACTTGCAACATTAAATCAATAAACAAGATACAATGCAACACACTGTTAAACAACACAGGTAAACAGTAGAAATCTGAACCATGCATGTAAATAAATCTAAAATGTTGATTGCAAGGAGCTCTCAGTGTTAACTTTTGATGATCTATTATGGTATCTGTGAAGTGAAAATTTTTTTTCAAAAGTTTCTGTGACTTCTGCGTCTTTCAAGCAATCTATTAAAATTTGTGCTTTGTAAATTGTATGGTTTTATTTGTGACAGGTTTTCAGTCTTCTTTTAATATTAATGTGTTTCCCCGTCTTCCGGAAATATTATTTCCGTCAAGGAAGAAGTAATTTGTTATTTTTAAAATGTCAAGAAGCGATTTACGTGTCTTTGAAAACATTATCTAGACATTAAACACATAAGACAGGTGAAATGACTTCCTAAATCCATTGAAAGAAAAATTTGGAATATTCTGGTTTTGAAATACAACATTAACCTAGGTTAGTTTAGGTCTCAATAAAGTTTCTTGAAAGGTGGTGTAACCATGGCAACTGCTGGCGTAGCACTATCGTTGACTTTTGACCCACAGAAAACCATATTCCGGTTGACCACGCAATTCAATCTTTTGTCTACTCTTTTTTTTTTTATTTATGACTTTTTTACAATCGTCATTAATCGATCAAGACGACCTATGTCATAGTTGAACCTTAGTACTTGCCTTGATGACAACAAAAAAATGTACGTAGTCCAAACAGATGCATTCTAGGTGAAGAAAAAATGCATTCAATTTGTTGCCATAAAGTCACCATTTCGATATAAGACTTTACTTACATAAAATAACAAAATTAACAAAAAAATATGTTTCAAAGCACATTTAGTGAAAGGGGAATGCATTCAGAGCGGTCTGACGCATCCACATACGGAAAATAGATTTACGTACGTCATTACTAAATTTATAGTATTACTATAAAAATCAAACTGTTTGTTCCTAATAGTAATTATGTAAATTTATTAATTGCTGTTTGTAGTTAATATATTGGGGAAATAGACATACCCGCTACTGTATGTACCGTACATGTATATCTTGTGCGTGGATGGTCAGAATATGTGTCGTTAATTTAATGTGTTGACGTGACATTGTATTTTTAGTACACGCTTGTTTGCATTCCTTCAATAACTACTGAATACTGGACGAATATTTTTTATATATAACGCAATCTCTCACCAATATAGTACCAATATTCATACTGAAAATAAGAAGCACTGCAAACGGACGCAAGAAAAGAGCAGTTATTCTGTTTAAGGATCTTTATTCTGACTAGTACTGCATTTCAGCGATTGGTCCATTAATGAGAATGGAATAATGATGGGAATATGCCGTGTGTTCCTTGACACCAGTTAATTAAGGAATACTCAACTGACTTTAAAGACGGGAGGGGGGGGTGTATTTTCAATTTCATGTACAGCATAGAAAATTCAGCTGCCCTATATCTACACCATTCAATCTACATGTATCTCTGAAACAGCACATTCAATAACTAGTAAAAATGCAAAAAATTGAAAATAACTACAAATTCTAGATTAACCTTTGTAAGTGAAAGGTGTAATCAAATACATGACAAATAGCAAATACGAAGATATCACCTAACAAACGTGAAATGTCAGTCTAGAATTGTAATCAGAAATCAGATTTAGTAGTTCATATGGTTACAGATGTTTCTTATCTAGTCTGTGTGTAACCTAATGCCCCTAGCTGTCAGCTGGCTTTGTCTTTTCATAAAAACGTATTCTTATATACCTTAGTACATGTAATCAATAATTTCAATTTCAATGTATTTACCTATGTTACTGATACAAGACATATTCAGTCAGTTTACACTTCAGATATATGGTAGTTCTTAAAGAATACTAAGCAAGCTTGAAGCTTAGGCTAAATGTTAAATTACTTTCAGATTTTCATTTACTGTAATTACGTGTCTAATGTGGGCAATGGAACGCATTTAAATTTTGTAGAAAGGAACAGCACCTTTGACCTATGCGTATACACGTTACAAGGTATTTGTTGCACATGACAGTATGTACGAAACATGTAATCTGGCTCGTTTTGAAGAAATTTGATAAAATATCTTTTCAAAAACAGGATATACTTATATAAACTACTGGAAAATATGATATGGCAGTGGGGGATTTGTTACATGCATATAAACGCTTATGTAATAAAACGTGACGCACACAGACTTTCTGAATGTGACATCAGTCTTTTTTATTTCCCTTGGTGTTTGCCACAGTTACATGTATTTTCAAGTGTCTCTGTTGCAACTATTAATAGAGCAATTAAAGTAATTCAAATTTCAACTGTTCTCAGCCTACATCGGCGATACTTCCGTTTTGAATTTCTTGTTCAAATTTCATTTGTTAATGCTTTTTTAATTGCGTTGATAAATGGAATTACTAGTAATTGAGAAGTTAATGTTTCCTAAAATTAATATGATAATAATAATCTTTATTGCATAATGGCATCCTTATTTGGATATTGACTCATAAAAAGAAAAATACAATAAAGATGAAAAACTGAGGAAGTGACATTAATAATATCATGAAATATTTCGCAAAATTTGATCAAACCATGTATCAAAAGGAAAATAGATTATTAAATTTCATCCGAAAAATACCGTAGAGAGATATTTATACTGAAGCAAAATTATGTCATGATATTATGACATTTAAAAGAGCTAATCAGAACGAGTCGCTGAAAAGGTTATATAACAATGAACATACTGACAATAGACATACATGACATGACCTATGCCATTAAATATGCAGTATTTAGAAATGACTGATGTTTGTATAGCCTTTGTGAGAAACATCTGGGTATTTTGAATAATTAATTACCAAGGACTATGATGGTCAAATATAACTTCAACACTTTAATATTTAGTTCATATACTAGGCAAATGCAAAGAAAAGAAATGAGATAATTGGATAGGCAGATTTTTATTTTATTTTGCTTGATTTGTAGATAGTTTAGAGGAGACAGATTTCCAGTTTATTCAAAACTCAGTTCAAAAAGATTTCATGGTATCAGAAATATATTCCTACACCAATGTTGTTAGCACAACAAAAGGATTTCCTTTCATCTTTATAAATATTTATAAATTTCAATGGCAGTAAAATCCAACCAGCCAATCAACGAGGGCAGTGTGCAACAAGCCAACAATGTCAATGTTATTTAGCAGATTTTTTATAATGTCTGTAAAAAGAACACAAATATGCGACAAATCGTTTATACAACGAGAAGAATTTTCTATTTAATTCCATCAAGGATTCATGAGATAAGGATTATGTAACATTAATGTCTTTGTATCTCACAATTGAACCTACTAGCCAATGGCATCAAAGAACGCTATGCACACCTTGAAAGATTTAACAGACCATTTTCTGTGAGATCTTGTGTTAGTCGTGAAATTGAATGTAAAAACCAAACAAAGATCACAGAGTTTTTCACGCATATTACGCGAGATCTCACAGTGAATGGAAAAACACCTATTGCGCAAACGAGAGATTATCGCTGTATTCAAAAACATAAATGCATACAACACACACCATGACACAAGCAAAAGCGGTTGATAAAAACACTAACTAGTTTTTTGAAGAAATGTATTTTTCTGATCATTTGATATTATATTTATCACACTACTTGCAACATTTATACATAAATCCTATAAAAATCACTGATTAAATTCATTATTATATTTGTAGAAATAAAAAAAACGTATATAAATAAAAATAAAAAAATCCTCTATTAAAATTAAAAAGACAGTTATCGCGGTTAGCGCAATGCATTAGATGATATTATTGCATTAATTGATACGGGTTCTTAACGATTTAAATACCACAAATCATATCCGTGACTTTACGCATTATTACTACACCCGAACTGCACTACGTTTAGCGTGCGTGTAACCACGACAATTTCAGTTTGTCTTCAACATTCAAGGGAAATAATAGTAATACTGATTTGAAAAAAGTTTATTTGTCGCCAGGTTATTATTAAAACGGAATAAACAGAACATCTACATGTTCGAATAGTACGAAACACTGCACGGTAGAGTTACTGATCAAAACAAACTGACCTGACTGACATGTGGACGGCTTAAGAATGGAAACGTGCCTCTTTGCTGTTATTCCATGGTGTTCTTGAGTCCCAGTATATAGTGTATAAAACCCAAAACACACAGAAATGTACAAAATCCACGTCGATTAAATATTAGTTGACGAATATCGATAATCAATTCCTTAGAGCGAAGTGTTCTCTTCCTTTCCGTTATGAAGTTCTCGCGGTTTAAGCAATTCTCGGAAACAAGGAGATCTCGACATCTTTCATAACATTGACGTGTGATGGCGCTCTTCTTTGAGTTCGTTTCGAGAAATGTTTGGCTTTTCTGTTCATGTTTACAGAGATGTATGTACACTGTGGGTCAACTAAAGATTGATTTCGAATCACATTGTCCGTCCTTTTCTTGATTTCATTAAGGAGAACGTTTTGTGATGATTAAGATTGTTTTTGATATCATTTTTTGCGGCAAAATGTATAACTGCTTGTTATTCAAGTTTTTTTTTTTTTGTTTTGTTTTTCGAAAATGAAAGAAAAATAAAGAAGTTAACAAGAATCCCTAAAAATAGCTCAAATGCGAAAAAAGTAGAATGATAACGAAAAAACACGACCACTTTCCATTTTCGCCAACACTACGCTATTATAATAGCCATTTTTCCTTTTTTATATAAAAAAAAAAGTCTGCAGAATGATGAATAACGAGATGCCGATCACAGTTGTGATTCTAAAACTGCAGAAAATGGGTCGACCTCCAGAGTAGAACTTGTGGATGGGTACTCGCCTGAATCTGGGCATAGCGGTTATATAAGTGGTCGTTGTATTCCGGGAGCAGTTGATACATAGCTGGATAGAGAGTGCCTCTGAGAGCTCAAAAGTGTGACCATTTTTATACCTGTATGGTGGCAAAATCTATACCCATATTTATACCAAAGTACCATTTCTGTCATCACTGTTTATAAAACAGTTACCGTATTTGCTCTATATTTCCCTGTGGAATGTACGCCTTCTTCTATTCCGTGTTAAATCTCCGTTTAAATGTTGATTGCCTTGTTTAATTTCCGGGTTGATGTATATATCGATCTGAGGTCGGGATCTGATGTGGAGCCAGTTATTCGCTCATATACGGAACCATAAGTATACCAAATCGGAAAAATATTACCGATATTTATACATATCTTGACCAGAAATAAGACCGATACTTATACCTAAAATCCAAAAAACGAGACCCATTTCAGGGGCACGTCCCCATTAGGCAAGTTCTATGTATTGCCACCCGGGCGTTGTATACGTCGCTATGAGTCCCATATCGACCAGGACGCGGCGCGACGACCACCGCGCTTTAACCTGTTCTGTTGGAAATTGTCAAGATGTTTTTGTAAGTTCATGAAGTAGTAGGCGAAGACATATAAATGAACAAAAGTTTTATTGGAAGTCGAGCAATCAGCGTCAACAGTCTCTCAATGACTTGACTCTTTTTTTTCTATTTTTTACGTTATAGTACTTTGATATTATTTTAATCACTTATATATTTATTGCTGTAAACCAATAGAACATTTGTACTTCTAAGGATGCAATAAAGTTATTATTATTATGGTGTTGAGGGATAGTGATTACAATTTTTCATGAAAGTCGCTTATTAAGGCTATAAATTTAAATTCTGAAAGTCAAAAAAGCAGTTTGCGACGACCTGAAGTAGCCTACAATGTTAGCAAAGTTGTTTCATGTTTAATGAAAAAAATGTATTTGAAGTATAGGGATAGTTGAAGAACTTCGACGTGGGTATTGTGCGGCCGAGTATTTCGAAAAAAAAAAAAAAAGTCGTTTGCAAACTCTGAACAAATGCTTAGAAAGTCGGCAAATTGTTAAGGAGAGTTCAAACAGTATTTGCGAAGGTTGTAGTTTGTGCAATTAGTAGTTTGTGAACGCAGAGAAATCGTCTTCAAGGTTGCAAAAGTTGTTGTATATTAATACTAGTAGTTGCTTCCGAAAGTTATCTTCTGGAATCCAGAAAAAACAAACACAAAGTGAAAATTGGTCCCGGGTGACAGAACAAAAACAGTTGGTTGTGGGGGTAGGTAATGTATTGAAACCCCAGACAACTAATAAATAGTTGTCTGAGTTGAAACTAACCAAAAACGTCAGAATATAAGACGTCTGGAAAGTTTAAAGAGAAGTTTGTATGCAAAGTAGTGCGCAATATAGTTCATTTGGAAATCGGGAAAGTTGACTGCAAAAAGATAGCAGTGTTGCTTCCGGGAAGTCTGGTAAGATGAACACGTTGTCTTGAAGGTCTGAAATGTAACTTGCCAAGAAGAGAAATTCGTACATAAAATTGTAAGGAAGGAATGTTGTATTGGAAATCTTGTAAAATGTGTTGCCAGGAACGTCAGACCATTTAATATTCGGAATGTTGAACAAGTAGTTTCCGTAAAAGGGAAATAAATAGTGGACAACGTCGGTACAAGTAATTTGTCTCAAGCTTTGTCAATGAAGTGTGATAAGTAGTTGAAGAAGGAAAGTAGTTTGTAATGAAACAGATCTGGAATGCCTCAAAAGATATGTTTTATTCTCTGCAAATAAATACAATAACTTGGTTGAACATTCGGAAGAATAAGATTATTTAATTTGTGCTTAGCATTGTATGAATGGTGACTGAATGAAATAAGTTTGTGAAAGCGCATAGCAGCCTTTAATTAACCGCGTCGTACACAAAGGTACCACCTTTATAGGCGTGTAGTTTATATATATATATATATACCCTCGATTGTTTGAAAAAGTGAGCTGAAGATGTAGTATAGGTAGTGACTTTGTAAATTTTGTAAGACCCGAAAATTGCAATGGAAGATGGAAAGATTGCAAAGAATGATAAATAAATTGTCTGCAATTCCGAAAGTTTTAACAACGTAAAAATCGTCTGCTAAGTGGTTTTCAAAGGCGATAAAGTTGTCAGAAAAAATGACTTCTAAGTTCACAGGAATGTGAGCCGGGAAAATTTTCAGAAATTTTGTCCGAAGGTCTGAAAAGTACATTGTACTTTGCAAAGAAGGAAAAATCGTTTTTAATGTCAGTTAAATTACTTTGAAAAGCATGGAATGGTTTTGGAATTTGCAAAAATGTTCACAGAAATGTCAAAACAGTCTCAAGTATTTTGGAAAGAAGTCTCAAAAGTTATCAGATGGGTTTGATGGATGTTCTTATTGTTCAAAACTGTCCATGTTTACTAGTAAACAGACGAGTGAATCTCTCTCAGTAGAAGAAAAAAAAAAGAGAATGATTTGTTTGCAGTCAATAACACATACGAATCAAACAAAGGACCTTTAAATTTGATAAGTCCGTGCAGCTGGTCATGAACAATAGGTGATTTTCCGTACAATTGCGAGATCTCGCGAGATGCATGAAAGACGCGCGTCGAACGTCTGCCGCAAAAATCGAACGATTTGATTTTGAACTAGAATTTCTTTATTTCGTAGCTTACATTGACCGGCCGATCTTCGACAGAGGAATGTTGCTTCCGAATACCCTTAGTTAACCGAAATTGCCTATCATCAAATGTGGACAGCACATTATTAAGCATGGATATGTCCCCGAAATACTTTCCCACGCGATGTTTGACGCGACTACGACGCTATGACCTTTGTTTGTCCTGTTTTTACGTTCGATTTCACGCATAACGCGTGATTCTCGCAGTGAACGGAAAATGGTCTATTGGGCGAGGAAACACAATGCATGGTTATGGATCAGATGAAGCAAGTGTTAGTCATCAATTCAATGACAAATTCTCTGCATAGAAATCAGACATATTTTGTTCTGGGTGCTTATTCCTGGATTACTTACGTATTTGGAGTGAAATTTACAAACGTGTCTCTCTGTCAAACGACATGTGAATAAGATTTATATTGAGTAATATAGTATATAGTGTTTTGTCTTTAGTTGTCCATCTGTATAGTTTCATTTTTTTTAAATAGACGTTTTGTTCAAGCAAATTAACTAGTATGTTTAATGTTTATATATGGGTAGGTTTCCCCAGCAACAATTTATGAAATAATCTATACAACAACACACTTTTGATTGTGCATAATCAGCCAATACATGCCACTCAATATGTTCTAGAGAAACAGCAAAAATACAATGTTCAAGTAGACGTTTTGTTCAAACAAATTAACTAGTATAATGTTTAATGTTTTTATATGGGTAGGTTACCCATAATTAAAAAAAATCACAAAATCAAAATCAAAGTAAAATAATAAAATAAAAAGGCATTAATAACAAAAGTAATAAAAATAAAATTAAAATAAGTTTATAGCCAAAATAATTAAAGCCCGTACACTACATCAGATTTTAATCAGATTGCTAATTATCATGCACAATAGGTAATTAATATTCACCGAAACTAATCAAATCTGCGCATTGGCCCAAAGCATCTATGCACCAAGTTATTTAAAAAATGATGTATGGTTCTTGAGATAGCAGTAGAACAGTCGGACACACATACATACACACCCACCCACACACACACTAACTGCAAAGACTCCCATTATGTGCTTCGCACATGGGAGTCAAAAATGGGCAATTATTATGCATAGATTTCAATCCCAAAACTAAATACGTCTTTTCTGCACAAATATGTACCAAGTTTCATTATAATGTGATGAGTGAAGTAGCTGAAAGAAAATTATCATGCAAATTAGGTAATTATTATACATGTATATAAACTCAAAACTAATTAGATCGTTGCATTATCTCGGAGTATTTATGTACCAAGTTTCATTGAAATAAGACAAGTACTTGAGATATTGATGGAAAAGCTGACACAAAATTTGCATAACAGGTAATTAATATTCAGATTTTAATAAGGTCTGTGTAATGGTACCTATGTACCAAGTTTCATAAAAATGTGATTAGAACATGCGATATAAATTAAAAAGCCCCACAAATATGAATTATTATACAAATTAGATAAGTAATACGAGGAGGTTTCAACCCAAAATTGAGCAGGTGCATTGTCCTAGGGCATATATGTACAAAGTTTCATTGAAATAGGATAATTAGTACCAGAGAGTGAAAAATGAAAAATTTACCAATTATGCAAATCAGGTAATTAATATGCACGGATATTGACCTAATGTCAGATCAGATCTATGTACCAAGTTTCATTGAAATGTGATTATTAGTAGCCAAGATATCAGTGGAAAGGCCAAAAATTGACTAATCATTATGCCAGTCAGGTAATTAATATGATTTTTATCCCAAACTAA